GATTTGTGTATTACAGAACCATTATTGAGTTAAATGCGATTAGAAACAACTATCTAAGTTTGTCGTATAGTTATATGATTTGTGTATTACAGAACCATTATTGAGTTAAATGCGATTAGAAACAACTATCTAAGTTTGTCGTATAGTTATATGATTTGTGTATTACAGAACCATTATTGAGTTAAATGCGATTAGAAACAACTATCTAAGTTTGTCGTGCAGTTAGTAATCCTCCGAGAAATTGTATTTGGTTTATGTCATGAGCCGAAATACTTTCTTCTTATAATAAAACATTAAAGCCCCATTGAAATTTTCCCTGAAATTATTATTCTTGTTTGATATCAAATATGCGCACACTCAAAATATTTTACAAGTGCTGAATTTGAGCTACTAATATAACTATTCGCACCCCCATGTGGCCATTAATGTAATGATAAAGTATTCGCAATTATAGTTTAACCTGTTTTTGTGAAAATAGACAGATTTTGGTTTGCTTTGAATTTCGCGCAAAGTTACACGAGGCCTATCTGCGCTAGCCGTCCCTAATTTAGCAGTGAGGGAAGGCAGCTAGTTATCACCACCCACCGCCAACTCTTGGGCAACTCTTTTACCAACGAATAGTGGGGTTGACCGTCACATTATAGCGTCCCCACGGCTGAAAAGGCGAGCATGTTTGGTGGGACGGGGATTCGAACCAGCGACCCTAACCACCTGGCCATGCCGAATAAACAAAAAGTTAAACTTTAATGAAGTTGTCTAAAATACCAATTTCTTTTTAAAAGCACCCACGAAATATCAGAAATGTATTTTTGAAATGCCAATAACTCGATATTTTGTTCGGGTGAAACTCATTTTCCCAACTTTAAACAAAGTTAAAAAAAAGAAACGAACTCGTGTATATTCTTCAGTGCCATCACTTAACTAAATTCGAGCATTACACATTTTTACAATGTGAAAAAATTAGAAATTATACGTTACTAGCCTTCATAGACTGCAGGGTCTCCTGGTTAGCGTGCGAGAATTGTCGATCCGAGGATGCATGGTTCACACTTTGGAGGCGTGGGTGTATAATAAGAGTGATGGTCAGCTCTCACTATTCGACTAGTCTGTTAGTTCAGGGGTGAAAATCGCAAAATAAACAGATCAGACTTTAGGCGAAGTGATCTGATTTAAAGATTATCTCTGATACAAGTTTGGCGAAGGAATATCTTCGACTGTAGACGAATATATAAATATACATTATTCTTTTCGATAGAAATAAATATAAACACCATACATACATATAATACTTTAGAAATAATTCGTTTTTTTAGTGACCAAGAGTTGGCGGTGGGCGGTATTATCTAGCCGCCTTCCCTATAGTCTATCACTTAAAAACTAGACATGGCTAGCTCAGATAACCCTCAAGTAACTTTGCGTGAAATTCATAAACAAATAAAGCTTAAACGGTTAAAAGTACATACGCACAAAGAGAATGCATTGCAAAACAATATACGTCAGCAGTGTATAAAATATACGTCATTGTACTTATAATACAAATAATTTACATAGTTATATCCATATAAATAAATAGAAAAATGCGTAGGTGATAAAGTAAAGAAATTCGACGTTTAGAGAATTGTAATAGTCATTAACCGACAGCCTTGAAAAAAAGGGCGTTTGCTCGAAACGTCGCCAAGTAAATAAATGACTACCATAGTTATTATAGGGCCTTTAGTACAAGTACATAGATACCCCAATACTTTATGATATCTGGGTGAAAGCTCCCATCTCTTCTGTTCTACCCACACAATAGGCTCTATCTAATGCTAAAATACCCCTCTATCATTTTTAGCCTAAAATCTACAAATTTACGTTCTGTATTGATCTCTATGTCCCTTATATCTATATATTCTACAATTGTTCCTTATATCTATATATTCTACAATTGTCCCTTATATCTATATATTTTACAATTGTCCCTTAAATCTATATATTCTACAATTCTCTGCAATTCTCATATTCCCATACTACATATAGTTGCACCGTATTTAATGTTTACATTTATATTTTAATATCTTACCATTCCTTAGCACTAGCTCTTTCGTGTTCCAATACTCTAGATATTTGCACCGTACTCAATGTTTACATTTATACTTTAATATATTACCGTTCTTTAGCACTAGCTCTCTCATGTTCATATATCTGTAGCATTGGATGTAAACTTTGGATACGGTGTAATATAGTAAAGTATAACTGTTCTTTAGCACTAGCTCTTTCGTGTTCCAATGCTACAGATATATGCACCGTATCCAATGTTTACATTTATACTTTACTATATTACTGTTCTTTAGCACTAGCTCTTTCGTGTTCCAATGCTACAGATATATGCACCGTATCTAATGTTTACATTTATACTTTGATATATTACCGTTCTTTAGCACTAGCTATTTCATGTTCCAATAATAAATGCATCCTATTTAACATTTACATTCAGACTTATCATTGCCATTATTAAAATACATTTGTTTAGATTACATCTGAATGGTGTTCTTACACTCTGTAATGGAAACCTACGCTCCATAAAGATCTATACTTGTTAATATTGCATCTTGAGGATGTCATACGGACACATTAGGTGTTCAGGCTATTTAGGTGGTATCATCTACCTTTTCTCCTACAACTATGGGACTGGGACACATTTTAATATACAATGTTGCATTTTAAGTTTAGAGTTCTCAAAATTTCAAACAAGTGCTCCTGTTCTCTTGTCTGAACATTTATTTTGACTACAGTCTGATGTTCTCAACTGATCGTTTGCTTTTACAAAAGGTTTTTCATTCTAACAGAGTCGATTACAAAGAGTCACCGCGCTCAATTATTATTTGCCTTTCTTTTATTTCATGTGCAATTGGCCGTGCATAACAGAGTGAACTGGGCCCTAATGAAGATGCGCAGTTGAGTGGGACGGCACGTGTCGAGAATGGGATACAGCCCGAGATGACGGATCATCCCGTGCGCTCGCGTGAGGAATGGCGGAGTGCGTCCCGTGCCAGAACGTTGCTATGGTATGAATACTTCTTGGCTCATCTGTGTATGTTACAGATGCGTTGTAATTGTGGGAAAATGTGTATGCTATGAGATGGGAATTGTTGTTCAATAGATGGTCTATCACGTGAATAAATCATCTTTTCATTTCATCAGCACATAAAGCCTAGATGGTGTTCGTGTAATTAGTTAAACAGACTGCACGGTAGCTTAGCAGGAAGTCCGAGTAAGTATAAAAACAGGAAACAATTGTCTAACGTAGATTATAATAACGAGCAGTAAATACTAGAGTTGCAACCGACTATTCTAAGACTAACGTTTAATATTGAACTTTTCAGACAGTCCCTGTGTGCTGTGGAGCTCTAGCGGACAGTGACCACGTGCTCACAACTAACCCTTCCCTAGTTCATTTCCCGGAAGTGGAAGTGGTCGGTATTAGCGACCGGAAGTATCTGAGGTTGTCATTTCAACTTGTTATTTTATCATGTTCGAAAGTCCTAACAGTAGCTGTACCTATGGGCAGGTCCCTTCTACTGACCTGACCAAAACTGGACCAGGTGGAGGGGGAAATCGAGGACTGGTTCCCCCGCCGTCTCCCTATTCCTTGCATGTCAAGGTGGAGGCCTTCGGCACCAGGGACGATTGGCCCGGTTGTGCTTACCGTTACACCGCAGCCTCCCACATGCCGTCAGTTCCAGTCGACAGTGTTTTGCCTTGTCGCCGCTTTTCACCGGGCAAGCCTTCCTCAAGCAGTAACGAGACGGCCAACAAGTCGTCGAGCCTTGTAGCGGCCGTGACCCCGGCCTATAGGGACAGGTATCTTTCACCAAGCGCTTTCAGCAATATTCCTGCTGCGTCCCCAATTCTCCTAAGTCACTACACCACAGACAAACATGCCATCAACGGCCAGCTAGAAGTTTCTTCCCGCTCTACTTCTTCGTGCCGGGCGACAGGTCACGACCCCAGCTCCGACAAAAGAGTGGTAGTACCAGCAGGTTAGTGCTACTTTTTTACTAGTTACAGTTAGGTAATATTTCTTATTAAAAGCTGACTTCTCTTATCGAATGTTCCGTGTATTACACCACGGTAAGGATCATGTTATCATTTTTTTAAAAAGCCATACAGATTTCAGCTTAATTTATGCTTTTTGTTCTGATGCTTTAAGAAAATGCTAGAAGATAGACACTATATTTTATTATTCAGGTTAATTTTAAATATATAAAACATCTTTAATGATAAAAAAACTGTAGTTAAACGATTAATTCGGCGCTCATTTCTCATAGGCAATAAATACGTTTGATGCTATAGAACACAACAAGCGCAGCTCCAGAATCCTGTCAAATCCCGTTTTTTAATAATAAATATAGCGAAACTGGAACCTACAGCACGTGGCGACGTGGAATCTTATCATGAAGGAAAGTACTCATCATTTCCAGAGAAAATAATTTTTTGAAATTTAGCACAAACGTTCATTTTGTTTGTCCAAATAAACATTTTATTCGTAAAAAAAACATGAATATATATTATGGATACACTAGAAATACTAAGTTGCACAAAATTTCACAAAAAAATTTCTCCAAATGCTTTTTAAAGATCTATTCTTTGGTGTGTGTGTGTTTTTTTTATATGGTAGGCAATCTGTAAGACTTCTTTCTACAGTTTCGTTTCTTTAACTGGTTCGCAAGTCTGGTTGATCTTTACTTAAACGCTATTTTCGACAATTTAGACGCCACATAGTGAAACATTTTTTTTCAGGATTTAAAACACATAAACACCCCACATGATGATACTAACTTGTAATTTAAAACACACAAACACGCCACATGATGATACTAACTTGTAATTTAAAACACATAAACACCCCACATGATGATACTAACTTGTATAGCCTGAACTGATTTGTACCTTTTTGAACTCACATTCTGAAAAAAAAACGCTCGTATATTTATATATGTATAGAGAAGATGTAACTTCCAGTTTATCCTTCATTGCAAGAGTGCTTTCGCAGCATTTAATAACTACTTTTAAATTTCTTAATAAACTTCAGTATTCCTAGAACAAAACAGAATAAGACTAAAATCGTGTCTAATCTATCTCACGTTTGCATCTAAAATGTATCTTAGTTTATAAAGATATCACATAGTTATCGGACATCTGGCCACTGTTCAATTTCCTTTCATGTTAAGATGTTTTATTGATGTTATAGCCTAATCGAACCGTATTTTTTTCAAGCCATAGTTAGAATTACAAACATTGTTAATTATAATGTTTCAGGCTTCACTCAGAGTTTGGTATTATAGAATTATTAGGCATTGTTTCAAAGCTTAATTATTGTTAGAACTAGAAAATATTTTTGATATTATCTTTCAGGCTTTACTCGGAGTTTTATATTGTAGAATTGTTAGTTATTGTTTCCATGTCTTAGCTATATTTAGTATCAAGTATGTTAACAATTGTTTCAGGATTTACTCAGAGTTTTATATTGTAGAATTGTTAGGTATTGTTTCCATGTCTTAGCTATATTTAGTATCAAGTATGTTAACAATTGTTTCAGGATTTACTCAGAGTTTTATGTTGTAGAATTGTTAGGTATTGTTTCCATGTCTTTGCTACATTTAGTATCAAGTATGTTAACAACTGTTTCAGGCTTTACTCAGAGCTTTATACTGTATAATTTTTAGGTATTGTTTCCAAGCCATGGTTACATTTAGTAGAAAATAGGTTAACAATTGTTTCGGGTTCTAATCAAAGTTTAATTATGCAGGATTTTTACATGTACAGTTTGAACTAGCACAATTATTAAAGGTGCATAAGAAATGTTAACTAATGTTTTCATGTTGGAATCAATTTTCAATATTAGAACTTTGTTATCGGTAACTAGTAGATTTGTTTATCATGGTTGAATGTTTAAAAACGCAACTAAAAACCATGCTCCATAGCTGTTGGATACCACGTGGTTGCAACGTTATATACGTAAATAGCGGTCTGAAGTCCTTATTGAACAAGATAAATAACGTTCCTGATTAAAGGTAGGTTTTTGTATTTGAGTGGAATTGGCTAAACCTAAAGACCTGTTCTTTATTTGATGAAAATGAAGATTAAGGAGCACAGATTTGTTTATTTTAGAGCAAAGCCACATTGGGCTATCTGCTTGTTCACCGAGGGGAATCGAACCCCGGATTTTAGCGTTGTAAGCCCGTAAACTATCGGGGGACAGGAGGACAGGATATGCATTTAACAGTATATTGGGGAGATGTGGTGTGGAATTAAAAGTTTAATTAATGCATTAAAAAGTGGATTTAAGAATTTCACGTAATTAGACACATGAAGAAAATGGGAAATTAGCATGTTACCTTTTACCAGATATCTGTATTAACATCGCGCAGCCAATCTTGTGCATGTGAGAATATTTCCCCTGCTCTTACCATGTCGATTTCACCACATGCATAAGCAGCCTCGAGGCAGGTGGAGGAGAACTCGTAGTCGCTCGCGGCAGGTGAAGCCAAAACGTACATTGCTAAAGAACGATAAATGATTAATAGAATTATTTGACATTTGGTCTGCCCAAAGGTTAAGCTACGCGTATTATGCTGTTACAGCAGTTCTAACCTCAGCATTCCGAAATCAATTTTGCTGTCAAAAAAGTATCAAAGCCAAACCTCAGAGCTACTGTCTGTTACATGTGTATGTAGTCAAACTATAAATATGGATCGGTGCATGTTTGATGATCTGCGTTCTTTGTTAACAGCTGTCACAGCCCAAACCTTAATTGATGCCCATAACATCCAATCTCTGAAGCACGTAATCTTACGTGCCAGCCACTGGACAACATTGATTTTACAATTGTTTTAGCTATAACACACATTTTGTATCTAAATAATACTACATATACCTTATTTTCACGTGTTTCTTGCTAGTAATGATTTATTTAAAAATATAATTAAGTCGAGTTTAGTAAAAACATTTTTAAGCTTTTCAGCAAATTTTTTATTTTTTACATGCTTTAATTAACTTTTATTGTTTTTTCCAACAAATTTTCATAGCACCCAATTCTGTACTATGTATTATGCTTACGAAACGTACAATGCTCGTGATACAGGCGTATAAGTACATAGCACCCCATTCTGTACTAAGCGTTGTGCTTAAGAAACACACAATACTTGTGTTAGAGGCGTATAATTACATAACACTCCAATCTATGATATACGTTGGGCTTATGAAACATAAAATACTAGTGATACATGCGTATCAGTGGTCATGCGACCAATAATGGTTGAACTTTTCCTTGTCGAACTAGAATATGAAAGAAAGGAAAATGTTTTCCTACTGAATACGGAACAAGGAAGTAGCATGTCACGTGACTTTTGATTGTACATGAAAACCTACAGATTGTTGCCCGACTCACTAGAAAGAGAAGGCAGTAAGAAATGAGTGAGGAGTGATTTGAAGTTTTCCCAAGAAAGAAAACAGTTGGCAACGAAAATCCTGCTAAACATCTGCTAACATAAGACTGATGTAAGTTTTAGAAAGAAATAAAATAAATAAACCCTAGTGGTAACAAAGGAAACTAAGATATACTGAAAGAAGGTGTTGAATTAAAGCATCACAGCTTGCACTCCACGTGACAGAAACATAAGTCACAATGTAAATATCTTGTTATAATTCTCAATAAACTACCATGTGGAAACTGATCGCAACACATTATTGTGTCAGTAGAACATGTTTGCTCAGGAAGTTAAGTATCTTTCCGTTACTTTGGTCACTCGATCATTTCCTAGAGGCACGCCCTGTAACCTCTAGTCTCTGTCAGTGGTGAGAATTTTAAGTCACACATTAGTTTATCATTATTATCCTCTGTCGATCTCCTCAACGGTGTAGTTTGTATTTGTACGATCTAGAGCTAACATATTAACTTTCCTGAACAAGAGAACCTTTGCTTCCTCCTCTCTGGTAGATGCTTTAGCTAACTACATACAAGTTACACCTCAAGTTCATAATCCATTTCTTGAGGGTTTTCCTCGTACGAGGACAGTTCTAAGTTCACGAGGTTGTGCGTCACTTTTAAACTTTTGGTACCATTAAACTGATTTTCTTCAACCTTAGAGAATTTTCAGTTTAAAAAGTCACCTACCAGAGATAGTTCCTTGGCGGTAAATATTTCAATCTAAACAACTACCTCGTAAAAGTTCGCAAGAGAACAGTTAACTCCTAATTTCGTTTCAGGTGGCTATTCGTTTCTGGTTTTTGCAGATAAATTTGTCCTCATTTCGCTTCAGGTGTCTATTTCTTTCCTGGTTTTTACATATTAATTTCTTCTCATTTCGCTTCAGGTGACCTTTTATTTATTGGTTTTTGCAGGTTAACTTGTCCTCATTTCGCTTCAGGTGACTATTTCTTTACTAATTTTGCAGGTTAACTTGTCCTCATTTCGCTTCAGGTGACTATTTCTTTACTAATTTTGCAGATTAACTTGTCCTCACTTCGCTTCAGGTGACTATTTCTTTACTAATTTTGCAGATTAACTTGTCCTCACTTCGCTTCAGGTGACTATTTCTTTACTAATTTTGCAGATTAACTTGTCCTCACTTCGCTTCAGGTGACAATTTTTTGTTCAGAAGAACTGTTTACAAAATCACCTTCACTAGCGGATTATTTATCTTTCTTTCATGTTAATTAACGTTTGTGGTTTATTTATTCGATAAAACTGCCAGATATCTGTTTAAATGTATTTACAAACTAATTAAAAGTGCACTCTCTGTGATCTGAGTGCAAGGAAACTAGAGAATCAGTTTTTTTTAACTATTCGAACTTACTGTCTACTGGTTAATAGTACATGATGAGACGTTAAGTGCAAGTACAGGCCTGTAACCTTGCTTGATAAAGTGTGAATATCAACTAAAAACAGTTACTATGTTTTAAAATGTTCCTATTTAGAAGTCTGTAAGAATGATGTAGGTTTTCAATATATGTTTATGGTTGGTTTCCGATAAGTTAC